TTCTGAAAAAATTGTCCTCGAAGGTTGGCGAAATACATGCAAATACACCCGGCAAAGCCACTCCGGAAGAGAATGAGCAAGTATAAATCAAGTTGGGTTGGTTCTTACAGTAATACTACGTGCTGTACTTCATTTTTGCTGTGATCAAACTGGGATTTTAGCCTTTCCATTCTCAGGGCCTTGAGCATTCCTGAAGTTGAAAAATCCAGCAATTCCTCGTCCTTTGGCAAGTTGTTCCAGCTCTTCAAGTTTTTTCTTCAGCAGCTCAACTTCTCTTGCTAAATCTTCATCTCTTTGTCTCATTGCCTAGAACAATAAACAACGGTTGTAAGTGAAATGCGGGGCATGCTGTTATTATCTTCAAAGCAATACATATATTCACAAACAGTTGATTGTGATGTTTTAAAAAATAATTTATTTATTTCATTTAGCAAATATTTATGTATATAATTGTCATGATGTTTTTTTTTTCTTTTATTTGCAAACCTGACAGGGTTACATGAAAATACAGATAGACCTCGGGGGTGTATGTGCAATTTTGAGGTTAAATTTGTCATTTGGAGAAATTTTTTTATGACATCAACAATTTTTGGACGGAAACTTAACAGAAGGAATATTGTGAAAACAATTTGAAACCTTAGGGTATGTTAGTGTAATTTTTGAAACCTTGGAGGTTTTGTGAAAACACCATAAACCTTAAGAAGTTGTAGCATAAATATGAAGAGATAACACAACGATTTAGAATGTCAAATAGATAGTTTAAAGTTCAGTTTTTTATATAGTGTGATGCAAGACTTACCCAATGTAAGGCAGCATGAACATAGAGAAAGATTAGTGAAAATTTTGAAAGGTAAACTAAGCAACAAAGATACAATAACTAGATGCAATCATGGCTGTTTCCTTATGCTACAATAGTATGAGTGCGTACCTCTAATTCCTGTCTACGTAGCTCCTCCTTTCTTGCTTCTGATCTTGAGCTTCTTTGCACTTCAAAAATAACTGCAGCGCCTCCAACCTAAAGAGATACAATAATGATTCATAACTTATATAATTAAAAATCTCCTAAACCCTACTTTGGGCAAGGATATCTTCTAAGTTCCTTTCTCTTAAATTGAAAGGGAAGAATAAGAAAGAGCTGGATGAACAATGAAACGTATGGTGTGGTCTATCAGCTGGAGAGAAAGTATTAATCGCATATCATAGTATTAATTCCATAGCAATCCCATGACAAGAACTTGTACATCATGTGGCTTTACAGTGAAACAAAGGTAATCTGAGGTTACTCATCAACTTGTAATACTGTAATGAGCAACATTTGTCTGGTTTTCTGACAAATTATGCTGCTTTAGCATTTGCCAAAAGCAATAGAATTTCAAAATGTAACCCAAAACGTATAGTGTACAACCGAAGCAACTAGTGTGTCACATAGGTGGAGGACAATTGTAACTTTATAAAGACTTATTTGGGACTGCTTCTGAGGAAGCACTTTTTCTTGGTAGCCTATTTTCTAGAAGCAGAGTAATATTTTTCTTTAAAATACAATTACTTCCTGAAAATGCACTTGAAAGTGCTTCGTTAAGGAAGCACCTATCAGGTGCACTTTTAACTATTCTTCTAAAAACGAAGCACTTTTAACTATTTCTCCGAACACTGTCAAAAGGGCTTTTGAGAATCTGAAACTCTTTTAGCACTTCTAAAGGCAATCCCCAATAGATCCTAAATATTGCAATGTAGTACCAGTGCATAAAATTCATGCACTACCGGCAAGTATTTAGTAAAAAAATTATGCACATGAAGCACGCCAAATTGAATTTTATGGGGAAGATTCTTACTTTCTTGAATTGATCTGCATGCATTATGACCCCAGAAAATTAAATAGTGACCAAGTTCAAAATTATTTGGTCAAAGACCATCTAGCCAAATCTAAGGCACTTATAGGCACAGTAGCATGCCCATGCCCATAATACGCGTCAGTACAGCTGGCTCGCTCGTTATGAGCTATTTGGGGTTGCCTATGTTCTGCGCTAAGTTTTCAGAGCATGTGTCATTTAAGATTGCGGAAGGTATCGGGTGAGGCTTGGGGTTGCCTTCAGGTCTCCATTAAGACTTTCCCTGTTTAAATTGTGTATTATTCAGCAGTTTGAACAGACATTCGATAGTTGGCAAAGACTATTTGTCAAAGGGTAAATTGGTAACAGTAATTACAAGTTACCAAGTTCATTTGCAAAGGATTCTAGAGGAATTTCTTATGGGGTGCATTTGATGTTCTGCGCTAAGTTTTCAGAGCATGTGTCATTTAAGATTGCGGAAGGTATCGGGTGAGGTACTGGACTAAAAAAGGTTCTAAAAAAAACTAAATTTTCGTGATCTTTGCAGAAAAAATTAATTTTTTGACTCATTTTAATGATGTTGAGTTGCATGAGGTTGTGCATTTCATGTCCTAAACATCTAATGTTGATAAAAAAATGAAAGGAGGGATGTAACGGTACACAGGTTCAATTGGAGAGGAGTGTTTGATGCCAAATCCTATTATATGGCATTGGTGGGAACCTTGGATCTGAACCGCAGCTTTTGGTTGTTCGGCAGCTTGGTGCACAAAGGCCCTGTGTGATTTTCTTTGTTTTGGACCGCAGCTTTGGGGTGAATTCTAACCTTGGACAACTTAATGAAAAAGGAATAGTCTTCAGTCAAACAGGAGGCAGACTACTAATAGATGTGTCTTTTGGGGAGAAGAAAGTTCGATTTTGGAGATTAAAGATCTGTTTGTGAGGCTTCGTTCTCTTAGGTTACCAGCACTTCAGATTTGTTGTTTGATTACATAATTGAGTTTATTTTTAAGTTTACGTTCATTGATTGTAAACTACTGATATGCCTATGTTTTAACTGTAAGAAATGCAAAAAAAAAATGCTTATCATTTGTAATTCAGTATGCCAGTTACATCTTTATAACATTCTTAGACTAGGGACAAAAATGAGAGTTCATAGTACCGTGAACACAAAGAGCTCCCCGAGAAGATCTGCAGCAGCTTGGACAGCTTTCTCCTCGTTCAGTGGGCGTATTGCAACATCAGTTGCATGACCATAAATCCGTCTTTGCACATTTGTTGTAAATCGATGATTTGCCTGATTTAATATCAAAATGGGAAAAAAAAAATATAATTATGTATAATATAAGTGCATATAACTAGAGAGAAATTATGTATAAAAAAAACAAGTGTTAACCAAATCAAGAAACTGCTGAACACTAGATGATTTCTATACAAAATGGACATTTATAACTTTTATTTATTTGTGGGTGATTATAGGTTGACTGGTGGGGTGGGAGCTAAAACACAAACTGCATAACCTAAATGAAGAACATAAGAATCAAAGTACGACATGTATCCATCAAAAAGCAGACATTCGATAGGAAGGTGGATGAAACATGAACTAGCGGATAATAACATGAATCAATTACAACATGAACACCACAGACATGTGGTACACATGGTCCAAGAAAGTAGCAGCCAGAAACCATAGATTAAAAGCAACTGTGGACTTGTTATGGAAATAGAACTCTATGCAGAAAATAAACAATGATGGCAACTACTAAAATAATTTAAAGGGGAAACTATCTGGAAGTGCAATTTCCCACTGGCAGTGGAAGAAAAAGTAGAACTTCCACTAGCTATGGAAGAAAAAGCTCAAGAATATAGTCAATATACATACAGAAATTAGAAATGGCTACAGATTGCATGTGAGAAATTCAACAAGTATATGAACCAAATATGATCTTCTGAAAATACAGCATCCATATTCCGAGGGTAACAAACCGTTTTCGAATGGGAATGGCATACTGCAGCATAATCATGATCATTTCTTTTACCCATACAGATCACAAACGACTTTATATACTTAAAAGTTTATCCATTAGTAATAGTAATCAAGAACTTATTGCAGCTTAATGTCGTCTAAAATGCCCCACTCCACATAATTTACTAGACATGCATAATTTATGCAAAATGTAATACTATTTAAACCGGCAAAGCTAGAACCAAGCAACGACACCCAAAACGCCAAAACAAAAACAAACAAAAAAATCAATTTTTAATATACAATTTGAAAATATCAAAGAACTCGCCTCAAAAGTGACCATGGAGATGGCTTAAAATGAAAAATTAATATTTACAGTTGAACACCCAAATGAGCAAAAAAGATGAAAGGCCCAACACCAAGCGAATACGAGAGAAAACCGGGAGAACCCACGCAGGAAAATCAGGTTTAAGGCAAACCCATATAATAAAATAGCTTAAAAACAAAGAGAATGAAAACAGAAAATGCTGGTAAAAGAGAAAAATAGAGAACCTGGGCAATGTTAACGATGAACTGCCTAAATCGCGGGTGCAAGCCAGCCTCTCGCTTGAGCCGATTCGCAATGGGTTTGGAGATGGTTTTGAGGGCAAGGGTTGCTAACTTTACCGCTGGAAGGACCATAACTCTCTGCCTATTTCTGTTTTGGAGTGGTGAATTTGTGTGCTTCGAAGGCTATGGGACTAAGAACTGAGACCAGAGCTTTTGAGTCATGGACTTGTACGGAATGATGGAATTCTAATTTGGAGAGAAAAAAGAAAAATGTCGACGCTGCTTCGTGGGTGACAATTCGTCAGTGGAGCGTCATCACTTCCATTTCTGGACAGGGCTGCGAAGATGCGTGCGAGAGAGTTTTGAGGGGTCAATTTGTAATTTCGACAAGAGTGGTGGTATTTCGGGCTATTCAGGGAAAGACACGATATACAGATACGAAATTGTACACTGCCGTTTTCCCCTGGTGAACTATCACCCGGTTGAGAATTGATATATAATTTTCTATTGAATATGTTGATGGATATTGCATATGTTGATTAGGATTTGGTTGATTTGGATATTGAATATGTTGATGGATATTGAATATGTTATATTCAATGGATATTGAATATGTTATATTCAATGGATATTGAATATGTTATATTCAATGGATATTGAATATGTTATATTCAATGGATATTGAATATGTTATATTCAATGGATATTGAATATGTTATATTCAATGGATATTGAATATGTTATATTCAATGGATATTGAATATGTTATATTCAATGGATATTGAATATGTTATATTCAATGGATATTGAATATGTTATATTCAATGGATATTGAATATGTTATATTCAATGGATATTGAATATGTTATATTCAATGGATATTGAATATGTTATATTCAATGGATATTGAATATGTTATATTCAATGGATATTGAATATGTTATATTCAATGGATATTGAATATGTTATATTCAATGGATATTGAATATGTTATATTCAATGGATATTGAATATGTTATATTCAATGGATATTGAATATGTTATATTCAATGGATATTGAATATGTTATATTCAATGGATATTGAATATGTTGATTAGGATTTGGTTGATTTGGATAATAAATATGTTGATGGATATTGAATATGTTGATTAGGATTTGGATATTGATAATTGAATATGTTGAATCTTTGAATTTGTAACTTAGGCATCACTTATTTTGGTAAATGAATATGTTGAATATTGAATTGGTTCATTTTTTAGTTGTGTCATTTTTGTACCGAAATGGTACCGATACCGTACCGATACCGACACGGTACGGTATGGTACGGTACCAATTTTGACAAACGATAATCCCATACCGTACCATACCGATTTAAATTTCCGGTATCGGTAGCGGTACGGGCTCAATACCGTACCATACCGTACCGTGCCCACCCCTAATTCTTTCAAAGCTCAATCAAATTTCCGTCAATATTGAAGACAAATTCATAATTTAAGGAAAATAAGAATTATACCCCATTAAAATACTACATAATAGTAAAACAAAAATTTGAAAAATCATAATTGGAGGTGTGGTCGTCAAGATTTTCGAGGGGGAGCAACTGTTGTTGTAGTAGTTGACGAAGTTTCTAGGGGAAAGGGAAGGAAGTGGGGCTGGTGAAGTATTAGAGGAAGTTGGTTGGATTGTAAAAGGGGGAGAATTTGGAGAAGGAGATGTTGAATGCTCTTTAGCTAAGATCAACCCCATTGCGGTTTGACAAATCCCACCAATCGGTGCAACATTATATATTAGACTAGGGGAGTCTTCAGCAGTGTGGAGTCTTCAACAAGACTAGAGGGTTGTGGACCTTCGAAAAGGGGGATCTTCGGTCACAAGGTCATCCTATAGAAGAAGGATGGAAGAAGTAATCGTCAAACTTCGGGTACCAATGTGGTACGTACCGAAGGCTCTCCGTTGCTTAAGTCAGCAAGTGTGGGGTACACAGTAATTTTAACAGAGTAACAATAAAGGTGAAAAGTGTTACCTTTTTACCTGGGCACTATTCCTCTTTTATTTAGAAATGAAAGTGGAAGTTTGCACAAAGTTTGATGTGGGACTTTGTGCAAATCACTGTGGTGGCGACACGTGTCCAAGGCTTAGGTTCTGTAGTTGAGAGCTTCGATAGGAAATTGCCGCATCAAAGGAAGGTATCTCTTCGATAGGCTGGGATCATGATGATGTCATCAGTGTTTTAGGGATTGCCTTGGAAGTGTTTTTTCTTCGGCAGGCAATGGTTCTGTCTATGCGCCAGTCTCCTAGTGCCGAATGTGCTCAACTAATTATGATACAAATAATAGTCCCTCAAGTTGTTGATTAAGGAGTTGCTTCTGGGTTGGGAAATTGTAAAATATCAAGTAATCAAACCGAGTGGTTCTGCATGGCAGATGCCGTAGGCAGTCCCCTAGTCCCCAGTCCCCCAAGTTTGAAAGCCAGAAGTTGCTTCGGCGTTGAGGTGATTGGTCATAGTCTGAAGAGCGGACCTGAGATGGATGGTGACAGGATCGGTATGTTTGTTGTCGAAGGATGAGGTCGTGCAGTACCAATTGGCAGGGAAAAATGATCTTGGCATGGGTTATGCGTGAGTTGTGCGTGAGTCCCCTATGCAATCGGTAGGGTTGACATCATGCACAGGTCGCACGCGAATCCCCTACATGATTGGCAAGGTGCTTGACGATCGATAGGGTTGACATCATGCACGGGTCATGCGCGAGGGTTGACGTCATGTGTGAGTCCCATGCGCGATAGGCATGGTGCTTGCCAATGGGTAGGGTTGATGTCATGCACTGGTCGTGTGCGAGTCCCCTGCATAGTCGGTAGGGTTGACGTCATACATGAGTTGTAAGCGAGTCCCCTGCGCGATCGGCACGGTGCCTATCGATCGGTAGGGTTGACATCATGCACGGGTCATGTGCGAGTCCTGCCACGTGTTTGCATGATCCTGACTAGTTGGAGTCGAGCGAGATTTGTTAAGGTTTCATTGGTGTGGAAATCGAGGCATTTATTGGGGGATGGCGGCAATTTGTAAGTTGATGTGTTAGTATGGTTGATGCCTATAAAATGGCTTCAAGGGGAAGAAGGAGGAGCACTTAGCATTTTTAGAGTCATTTGGAGAGGGTTTGGAATAGGTGATTTCCGTCGAAACGTTGAGTGAGCAAAAGTGATTTCCGATCAAAGGTTTCACGACAGAGGCAATTTCCAATGGAGCTCAATATGGTGGCAGCGATTTCCGCCAAATTCTGCGGCGGCAATAACAAGGTATTTTCGCTTTGGCACCCTCTTTGAATTGAAATGCACATTTTATGTGAAGTTTTGCGTGAACCTTTGAAATTATGCATGAACATTTGAAGATCATTCCTAGAGTAAAATCTTAAGCATTCCAACCGTTGAGTACCTTGCTTTGATCTTTGGCCTGCCATTTAGTATCGTTCATTTATGTTTGTAGATGTTTGACAATTATGATAAAGAAGTGAACAATTCTTGCGCCTTTGGTGGGGAAGATATGGAAAGTGAGGTGCGTACCATTTCTGAAGGTGTTGGTGATGAAAGCACCGAATCTGAAGGTATTGTGGAGGTTTTGATAGAAGAGGGTAGGGTGGTGGTGGATAGGGTTGGGGTAGAAGAGCAATCGGTAAGCTCTGAGAGTGAAGCTTATAGGGAGATGCAAAGGAATTATGTTACGCTAGAGGCGGTGGCTAATCGAGTTCTTGATATGCCTCATACACCTGAAGTGGGGTCAAGCAACCATGCGAGGCCATCTGGGTCTGGGAATGTGGTGGTAGCTTCTGCACCAGTTGGGGTGGATGTTCTAGTGGGGGTTCCACTATCGAAGAGAAATAAGATAAACTTATATGAGTTGGAAAAGCTCAAAACAGAGTATAGGGTGCCTTCTTAAGTGGGGTTGAAGCTACCAACTTTGACAGATGTAGTGAGGTATCCTCCTGAGGGTTGTGTTATGATTTTCTTAGCAATGTACAAGTATGGGTTAAGGTTGCCGTTACGTCCCTAGGTGTAGATGATTTTGGCAAAGTTGGGTTATGCACCAGGGCAATATAACCCCAACTTTTGGATTGTACTTCATGGGGTGTATATAACCTGGTGGTTGGCAAAGCTGGGAGTGTCGACCTTTGAGCAATTCGTGTACCTGTATTTCGTCTCTAGACAAAATGGTCATTTTGGCTAGGTTCAGGCTAACTGCTGAAAGGCGAAGGAGAGAGGTTACTTCATAGGGCATATGACTTCGTTACAAAGGTCATGGAGGAATCGGTGGTTCCTTGCCTACGACGATTGGGAGTGTTTTTCAAGGAAGACCGTCGACAGACATGTACCTACCCATTTCCAATCTATAAGTCCTTGGTCATAACTTTTTGATTTTGTTGCTTGCATGTGCTTGTATGAATTGTCATCCTGCCGATCGGTATACGTGAACTTAATCATATTCTTGTTTGTGTAGGTTCGATGAAGTGCAATCCTTTGTTGAAGGAGAAGGAAGACGAAGTAGAGTTGTTGAGGTTGTCGCTCTTGGCACGGGAGTAGGAATACAGGAACTTGGTGATGCCAAAGCACTTGTTTGAATCAGGTTTATTGCAAGGAAGTAAGTAGTGACATGTCTTTAGTGTTTATTTGCATGACCTCTGTGTCAACTAACCATGTTGTCTTCGGAGTGGTTAGAGTTGTCAAGGGAGCGACAATGGTGGCGTAGTCTCCGAAGATGGCTAAAATAAGTGTTGAGAAGAAACAACAGTGCCTCAAAGAGCCGAGAGAGAAAGACAAAGCGGCCAGGGTCAGTAAGGCCTGAAGAAAAGCAGGCCAAGGCCACCGCTAGCGTCACGGAGGGTATTACCGAAGGGGCTAAAAACCGTGCCGTCGGGAAGCGTGTACGGGGTGATGAGGATAAGCTGGTTTTAGCAGCTTTAGATAAGAAGAGAAAGGGCTTAGAGACTGCTATAAGGGATGTCATGGGTAACAAGCTGGAGCTGCCCCAGTTTGACTTGGAGACCCAGTCGAAACTTTCGCTTGGCATGGAGGAGTTGTTCCTTGAAGATGCCGAAGATATTGACTTTGCTGCGGTTCGGTGGCAAAAGAAGGAGGTGACCTTGGCCATGCATCGTCAGGAGGTGGCCTTGGTGAATGCCTTCCTCACCAGGGTGAAGATTGATGCTGGGGAGGTGACTCATACCACAGCTACTGTCTGCCGCGCAAATCTCACGGCCTGGAGTTTCGGGCCGAGGGGACGTGCGTTAACACGGGGTTTCCTGCTTTTGGGTGCGGTGTGGTTGTGCACGGGCGTGCCAGCACGGTTTACCGTGCGTTGATGTTTTGATGAGCGTTGGATTAGTGAATGGTGCGCTTGTTTGATCTGTCTTCTTGGTCAA